ATTATTATTATTATTATTATAGGCCTACACGAGACTTCACTGGATTTGGCTTCAATTTCTCTTCTTTCAATTAATTTTTCCAGGAATTGGACTTTGCTTCTCGGATCTTTCTACATAAGAACAGAACACTTTCTCTTGCCATCCTGCCTGCCTGAGTTTTTTGGTTCTAAAGTCAACTTTCTATCATACATATTATGTATATATACGTACGTAATGTACTCATAAGTGTATTTTAACCATCTACCCCCCCCCTTTTCCAATGTCATTTTTTATTATTATTTTTCTTTTGGGGGTGTTTGCTTTGTTTTGTTTTTATTTTTTAATGTGTTTTACACCCCCATGGGCACAAGTTAGATTAAGCGGATTCCGACTCAGCAGAACAGCGAGGGAGATACGTGTACTCATATACCTAATTATAGGTCTATGCATGTACTCGATAAACATTCTCCCAAATCGAAATTGAGCTTGGGTCTTCTGTGTGCATTTGCAAAGCGCCTACCACTAACCGATGTGACGCACAGGCGCCGGTAAACTTTAGGTAAACTTTAAGTTTTCTTGTCATAGCTTGTAGTCAAACATCTAGCAAAATATTGTACATGTACATGTACGTGGCACAGCGCCGGTATAGCTCTGGTTAAAAATTATAAGAAAATATTATTAAAGTGTACGTTATCAGTAGACCTACAGTATAGATCATTCTGGAGACTCACATAACTTCACATTAATAAGCTACCTTAGAATTGCAATAAAATTCTATCTGACATTGTGGTGTTGGCTGTTTTGAGTTACTAAAAAGTCTAAGACCTGTCCCCGTGGTCTCATGCACCCCGCATAATTTAGCAAAATTTGATCATTTTTTGTATAATTTCTTATTATTTTCCTTCATCATTCTTTGTTAAAATTAACAGAATCGCATAATTTCCCATTTTTGGGGATCAGTTTGCATAATTTCAGCATTTTTCTTGCATAAAACGACGGGGACAGTAAGACCACGAGGTTAGAAACCAAATTAATAATTAATGCTCTCTTTGTTCTATCAAAATCGTAAGATTATTCAGAGTCGTTATCAAGATATTCAAAGAATTGCATTCGAAAAAGCTTGGCATGTTGTGAAACTCAAAATTCTTGGCGTCAAATTTTTCAAAACTTGGTACATTGTACTGAGCAGATAGAACTTTGTAATTCTAGGGTACGTATAGAAATAGGCATTATTAGAGAACTGTACATCACATTTTGGTTCAGTTCAGTTTGATTCAAGTTTAGTGTCGCTCACAACGTTTTGTGTATGCAGTACGTTTTCGGATATATATTATATATATGTATATATATTGAGAGATCTGCGCTTCAAAGCAATTGATGACCAGAATGTATGACATTGTCATGTAAAGCGTGTTTGAGTTTGAAAATGATTACAATGTGTGAATAATGTATGTTCTTCTGTACTTTCTTGTATTTTGATGCGATCGAAAGGTGTTACATGCCAATATAAACCGAATTTCTTTATGAAAGTGAGAGAGTTGTCTTTATTTCATTTTTTTAAAAGTTTCTCCTTTATAAAAATCATTTTCTCAGTTGTTCTTCTTGATCTCCGCCACATACAGAGTTATTCCAGCACGTTTGCCAGTTTCAATACTCTGTAGCCCACTAGACCCATTCTCCAATGAAAATTTAAAGAAGCGATATATATTCATTACCATGTGAAGAATTTTTAATCACAAAAAGTATTTCTTGGCGTCAGCTTAAGATCTTGTAAGTTTATTAGTGATTGAGCGCGGGCATGTAATCTGCACCTTGCACTGTACGCTTCCCGGGAAGCCGAGAATGTTTCTGAGTGTTCTAATTCTAAGGTCTGCTGGGATAATGATTCACATAGTTGTAAAGCGCATAGGGCATTCTGTAAAACGTGAGTAATAATAATTGCTCGTTTGTCATTATCTGACAATGACCAATACAGTGGCCTAGTGGTTAGTCTCTCGGACTCGTAACCGTAAGGTCGCGGGTTCGAATCCCGCCAGGGGCCCGACGTTGTGTCCTTGGGAAAGGCACTTTACACGAATTTTCCTCACTTCACCCAGGTGGGAATGGGTACCCGGCTATAGACAGCGAAAGATCTTGTCAGTTTGTTAGTGTTTGAGCGCTTAATCAGCTGCTTGCACTGTATGCTTCCCGGGAAGCTGAGAATGTTTCGGAGTGTTCTATGGTCTGCTGGGGTAATAATACAGTGTAAAGCACATAGAGCCTGCTGTTGAGCGGGGATATGCGCTATACAAATGCTATTTATTATTATTATTAACTTGCAAGCATACAATACAATAACCAAAACAATAAGCGTCGTACACTACTTGGCGTTGAAGAAAATCATGACCACAGGCCGATTCTTTTTATCATTGTAGGCCTTTTTTAGTTTGAGCGCCTATTGACACAATTTAGATCACTTAGGAAGCGGACTTCCTGCCCTGCCTCTCAGAGCCGACCCAGCCTGAGAGGGATACAACTTCCCAGCTAAAAAAAAACGGGATACAAATGTACTCAATAAAAATGATCTCCCCAATCGGGTCTCCTGCCTGCAACAGCGAAACATGTACCCGACCGTTACAAACTCAACGCCAGTTCAAATACTGAAGCACAATATGTAGTACATTATATATCATGAAAGAATGTGCTGGAAAGGAGCAGAACTTACACCAGTAGCTTCCTGTGACTGGCACGTTAACATTGCAGTCAGCCACATTCCGAAAAGAATTCAATTTACCATTGAAAATTACCATTTTGAAATTAAAGCCCTTTCAAAACCAAGCTGCAAGAATCATGTTTACAAAGAGGAAGAACGACCATATCGCTAGAATTACTTACAGATTGTTGTTCTTTATGGCCATAATGTGTTGACAATAATTTTAAAGCCCCCTCGTATTTAATAACGTCACTCAAATGTATGTTCTACCAAGATCTCTAAGATTAGGAGGATCAAGTTTTTTATGAGTACACCAAGGCAGGGTGGTCAAAAATTCGCTTTTCTCAACTAACTCAAACTATCTGGAACTCTCTCCCACAACATATGCAGGATACGAGTATAAATTCGGAGGCAAAATTTAAAATCTATGCAAAAACGTTCACAGAGCTGTATAGTTTAAGAGTGGGCACTATAGAAATTTAAACAAGTGTTTGTGGAAGCTACTGAGGATCAAATGGACAGACAGGATCACCAACGAGGAAGTATTAAGAAGAACGAGACAGATCCCAGTCAGAGATGAGGTGGGAAGAAGACGTTGGCGATGGACTGGACACACTTTCAGTAAGTTAAGCAGCTGCATCACAAGAAAAGTGTTAGATTGGAACCCACAGGGTAAAAGATGAAGGGGAAGACCACGTGGAACCTGGAAAAGAGTCACAGAAATGGATGTACAGAAAAGTGGGAAGACGTGGAGTGACATCAAGCGACTAGCCCAGGATAGGGAAAGGTGGAGAGTGTTTGTTCGTGGTCTATGTATATCCTGATCCAGAATGAGAAAGGCAAAGATGATGATGATGACTATAGAAATTATCTGCATTATCATTATTATCATTATTATTCAAATAGTTCGAAAGCCATTTCCCGACAGTGAAATAGCAATAATAATACTGTAAGTCCACGCTCCACATCCACTGCAGACAATACACTCAGCAAACATGGGATTTCATAAAATCTGAAAACAACAATAAGACAAAATCATCCTTCAAAACAATTATTTTTTATATAATTTTATTCAAGTTCTCATATCATAACAAGAACAAGGATGTTAAAAATCCCACTATGGAGTATGGGAAAAGACTCTACAACCAAAGACTGTTGTTATTTGACTTGACATATATACCATATTTGTTTCCCCTTACTCCAGCAAGGAAACAAATAAAAGTGAGAAAAACAGTCTGGCTCAATGCACGACAACAAGCCAGTCAAAATTTGGGCATCTTCCTGTTTTTTGGTCAAGTTCAAGCCTTCCTAAGTTTTCCTGAAAAGCACAGAGGACTTTTCCTGTTCATGACAAAGTAATTCCTGCATGAAGAACTAGCCACTATTAAGAACAAAACAAGACTGGGCGTGTAATTTAATTTCAAAACAAAAGTCTTGGATTCTAGAGTTATCAGTATCAGTCCACATATTATATTTGAAAGCCATCCTGCAATATTTGCTTTAACTGTTGTTCTCGATCTGGACCTAGAGACAGGCCACAACATGTATTTCATTACCATCACCGTAGGAAAAATGTGAGACCGAAATAGCACTCTGCTGACCAGGTCATTCATTTGTAGAGATGTTACAGCTGTTTGAAGCTTTCCATCTAAAAACCACATGTGCAAAAGAAAAACTAACGTAAAGGCTAAATTGTCTGGAAATCCAGATCGTTGACATACAAAGCAGTCAATGTATATATATATATATATATATGGCAATCTACCCGTGGACTCACTGGGTTCACATTAATCATAAAAACATAAAAACCATGACCATAGAGGAAGCCTGACCTTTACAAAGAAAAAGCAACCCAAAAAAACAAAAAAAATAATAACCCACATATACATAAAAAGCAAAGTAATTCAAAGTAAAATCATTCATCACTTAACATTAATAGTGCTACACTACGCTGTTTTCTACCATGATGGTTTTAATTTTCAGTGAAGGAAGTTTAGAAACCCAAGTCGCTGGTCTTTGTAGAAAAAAAAAACAATGGTGAAATGGTATAAGCTTAACGCCCCATGAACCTATTTCAGAGGCAGGACCTCCGAGTTTAACGTCCATCTCCAAAAGGACCGAGCCAAATGGGAAGTTCGGGTAAAGCGTCTTTCCCAAGGGAACAATATCGAACTGAGCTAACGCTCGAACCCTCAATCTTACAACTATGGGTTCGGTAGCCTAACCACTAGGCCACGACGCCACCTTTGCAGGAAAAGAAGAAAATTCACAAATGAAAAAAAACACACACAAATTGCCAGGATGACCGTTTTTCCCCTCTAACTTACAAAATTTTTAAACTGTGTATTGCATGGCTTATTTCTAAGGTCCATGTGAACAAACAACATATATGTCAAATTCTACATTACTCTAGAATTCATATTTTCCATTCCAGAGTTAAACAGTAGACCTTACGTTATTTCCATAGATCCTTTCTCTTCGTGTACATCAGTGTTAGTCGTGGTATAAACATTAAAGATCTTTACTGGCACACAGAAGTTTCTTTCAACTGCCTGCCTTCAGGGAAAAATTTAAAAACCCTGTTTTACCCACCAGGGGAGTAGGTGCTATAAAAATGCACTTCATTACAACTATTATTAAATATAAAATCCAAATGAAATAACACAATGTCCTAAAACCGAGTCAAATCCTTTGCCGGCAGTTACCGATCAACCACCAAATCCCGAAAACAGCGAAAGAGAATGAAGAAGGTAAGCCTGGGTACATGAGACGTTTCCCAACCACAAGGTTTACAGTTCCAACAAGGAGCCCATCAACAGAGATGACAATCTGTTAGCCACTGTGCCACCAGTAAGGTCTTAAGTCAGAACTCATCTTCTTCACTCAAGCCTCTAACAGATGACATCAACAAATAACACCCCTATTCAACCAAGCACTGAATATTATGAGACCCTGAACATAATCATAACTACTGACAAAAATCTATGATGTCTTCAGTTGTTTGACTTTTTTTTAAAACCATAGACATATGGTAATGTGACAAAAAACCCGCAAGAAACAAAGATACCCGCAGGAAACAAAGATGCCAACAGGCTTTTAAAAAATTTGTAGGACTTGAAATTTGTTCCATTTTTAGTCCAGCTTTGGTCTAGATGTTGAGACATTTTCACCTGAAAAATTACTGACATTGGCTACCATGCAAACCAATCCTGCACTAATTTGTCAGCAGCGAGTGCTCCAACACAGAGTCCTTTATGGACTGAACGCCAGACAAATTTCGAAGTAGCGTCCATTTTTTCACAGGTGTCGTAAGTCTTGGAGAAGGACTTAAGGAATTTTTTTTTGTGGAGTGATAACAATTACGAGCCACATACGGTGCCAAAATTTCACAAGTGCCCAAAAAAGAGGGGCATCTCGGAGGAATCTAGAGTGCAGTTGGCGAACTATCATCAGCTTCATCAGAAGTATGTCAGAGAAAACTTCATCAAGGTGAAATACTTGTCAGTAAAAAGGGGTCTAGCATCCACGTGTTGTAAGGTCTAGTTCTAGTGTATCCAAAAGAAAATGTCTTTCGACAGTAATTTAGAGATATGTTGAGAGCGGGTAGAAGGTGTTACTTGCTTTGGGCTGTTTTTCGCAAAATAAAACAAATGAGTTATTTATGAGATCTGCTTAAACTTAAACATGATAAAATTATAGTGAAACATTACATTTCCCAGAAAAAAAATATATAAATACAGATACAACATATATAATAATATGAGTTCTCAGTCCAAGCCATCTGAGGTTCGATTTTTCCATATTTTCTCGAGTAATACACAGACTTTGACACTAACCAAAACATATGAAGTGTTCTTATGACCCACAACTAATCCCCACTGTTTGTGTTAACTACCAATGTTACTAAACCCCCCCCAAAAAAAATCCTGTCCTGTTGAGCAAAGTTCTCAGAGTCAGACAATTTACGCCGGGGACCATTAACACATTATCAATAATTAAATCATATCATGGCCAAGCTGTTCAAATGTCATAAGCCTGGAAATCAAAATTTTTCAAGAGAGAGAAAAAAACTAGTCAATTTTTTAACTATTTTATCTACTTGATCTATCTTTTCCTGCCTTTATCTTTTCAATGGTTATAATTTGAACTTTGTACAAAATATTTCTTGAGCACCTACAACCGATACCAAAGATTAAGATACTACAATAAAACCCAAATGAAATTCTAAACGTTGGGCTTATTACATGTGAACAACTTGTGGACAATACGTATAGTATGTATCTCCTTTCATGAAAGAAAATGAAAAGGTGCAATTAGAACAATAGTTATCACATTCATGGGTGTAACAACAAACACAACCACAGCATGGACACTGTACAACGTACGTTGAGCTTCTCTCAGCAGGTGCTACCGACACCTGGAAAGACTTTCAGAGTATACTGAATTGCTAACAAAAGAGAAACGATGACGACATCACAGAGACCAAGGCCAAAATGGATGGTCATACTACAAAAACTTTAGAAAGTCGGAAACACCCAAAACAGACCGTGGGCCTTTGCTCTATTACTTTTTGAAATTCTGGAAAACTTTCAGCCGGGAGAAACAGCCTCCCTGCTCTCATCTCGACATCAAGACATCTCGACATCAAGAGTCTTTTACTTCCTCTCGCCCAAGATGCGCAGAATGTAGAGGAAGAGGTTGAGGATGTCCATGTAGAGATTGATGGCCCCAAGAATGTATTCCTCTGGCGACAGCTTCGCCATGATCAGGTGCGTGTCGATCACGATGAACACGCAGAAGAGGGCAGCACCACACACGCTGATGGCCATATGCATGGCAGACACGGGCAGCAAAATCTGGGGACGGACAAGGAACAATTTCTGTTTTAGTACGAGTTTTTTGTTTTTCTGATTATTTCGGGGGCAAGTGTTTTATAGTGCTCGCAACTGTGTAAGGTCAAATGAGCACGGGGGATAAATTAAACATTTTTAGTTTTGTAGCAATTTTGAATTTTGAATTTTTGCCTGGGTGACGGCCAAAGCCTACTCTCATTGACTCTGGACCACCAAGGGATTTTCAATGAGAGCAGCTTGCACACGGGACTTCCGAGATTTTTCGCCCTCATCCAAGAAGGCTAGTTGTTAGATCTTACCTCCCATAAGATCGGGGGTGTGGCTGAAAAACAGGAGTAAGAAGGATCCAAGGAGTAGCAGTAAAAAGGCTGCAAAAGAGTCAGAAGCCCAGATGAGGGGGCAAAGGAGGCGAGGTGGTGAGGTCAGAAAGTGGAGATGAAAGCAGACGACAGACCATTGTAAGAGAGCAGGAAAGAAGGTGAAAGGAGAGGAGAAAATTTTAGAGAAGAAAATTTTCCGTCGCTGTCAGGATTAGAACCCGGGACCTTTAAAATGAGAGGCGTACACACCTGTAACCTTTCGACCACGAGAGCCCCCTTAGTAAGAGTTTTACAGCACTTGCAACACATTGCGGTCATATAAACGCCTAAGATTAGAGAGGTGTTACAAGAGAGTAACAAACACAAAAAAGGAGGGGAGATAAGAACAATAGATGTTTGATGAGAAAGAAGGAGCAAACCACGCCAGAGCACCCAACAATAATCCACAGTAAGAGTTTTACAGCACTTGCATTACAATAAGGTCATATAAGAGCCGAAGATTAGAGAGGTGTTACAAGAGAGTAACAAACAAAAAAATCAAGGAGGGGAGATAAGGACAATAGACGTTTGATAGAAAAGAAGGAGCAAACCACAACAAAGCACACACCAAACACCCACTCAATTTCTGCTTTCTGTCTTTCAAGTACAAGTACATTTAACAGTCAGAGACTCTCCAATGCCGAAACAATTTAATGTATGTCCCTGTATGAAATATATAATTTATTTGTTCATTTTATTTTTAATAGTAATTCGACTTAATGCCTACCATTTAGAGTTTTGAGACTGTAATAAACTCGGGGCCATGAAAGAAAAACTGCAATACAAATAACCCATTCTAAAAAGATGAGGGCAGTACAGAGTTCTTTTTCTTCCATCTGAGATAAACAACACAACTGGACAATTTGTGTAAAAATTTGGCATGCTCAAACAACAATTACAGCAAAATTAAAAGGTAATAATTTGGAGAATACTTACGTTTATGTTTGTTGTTTCACACAGTGGGAGTATGCTACAAGGTTCGGTCATGAATAACAAACCAAATAAGACACTGAAGGGACACTTGTTTTCAATGACAAAAAAAAAGGTGTGGTTACCTAGAAATAAACTCATTCCAGTTGAAATTTCTACACATGTATAAATGTCCATCAAATCCAAGGGCTTAGAACATGTTCATTCATAAATACCCCATGATTGTCCTGACACACTAATGTTTTAGAACCTTCTTGTGTTGATCGCAAGAACAAATACCCCACAGTGTTTCAACATGCAAGATTATTTCAATATGGAAGAATGATGCTTGCCAACTCTGCGTTTTCTTGGAGAAAAAAATCGAAGATAGAACATATCCATGTTACCCCCATGTCATACCTTGTAAAGGGATGCTCTATTAGCTCAATCAATCGAAATCATGATGGACAATGGAACAAATGGCCCTGGTTCAAACCCCCAAATAGGTGTTTTTGAAGTTGGGTTATTTCGAGAAATTTTAAAGGCTCTCCATCCACTAGGCTTCAACCAATCGGAGATGGACATTAATTTCGAAGGAACAGCCTCATACAAAGTCTTACCATGTTGAAAGAGGCAAACAACAATACCTTGACGAGCGCGTCATTCCCGGCAGGGGATGTTACGAGCTGATCAATCTCATGTGCAAGTGTTGTAGGCTACAAGGTTATCTTCTCAACTTGGAAATTTGAAAGAAATACAAAGTTGTTCATCCCATTTTTTTTTAGAATGGTTCACATTTATATATACAAAATAATATATAAGTGAGAAACCCATCCACTCACCTGTATTAAGCTTGCAATAAAGAGCGTCCACAGACACATCATGGCCCTGTAAGATACAAGAAAAAAAGAGTAAACAACTCTTATTTCAAAGGTCTCTGGTTAATAGCAACCTGGTTAAAAGCATGATCAACCTTAAAGCATGCTGGCAGCGTGGACCCAAATATTTCCGATATCACTCGTTAGTGCACATTCTCAATCAACTACTTTTTTCAACAGCACAGGTGGCCATTAGAGCAGGTTCAAATGTATGCCAAAGGTGAATAAATGTAAACACATGATGATATTTTGTTCTTCTTGTGGCGTCTGTGGCCTAGTGGTTAGGCGACTGGACTAGTAATCGTGAGGTTGCGGGGTCTGGGTTTCAAGCCGGGGGCCCGACATTGTGTCCTTGGGAAAGGCACTTTACACAAATTTTCCTCACTTCACCCAAGTAGGAATGGGTACCCGGCAATAGACAGCGAAAGATCTTGTCAGTATGTTAGTGTTTTAGCGCCTATAAATGGCCGCTTGCACTGTATGCTTCCCAGGAAGTTGAGGTTATTTCAGAATGCTCTCAGGTCTGCTGGGGTAATAGTATAGATTGTGAAGCGCATAGAGCCTGCTGTTGAGAGGGGATTTGCCCTATACAAATGCTATCCATTATTAAAAAGGAGCAACAAGAACATTGGAATGGCACTGCATGGATATAAGCACACACAGAAAGAGCTACCATCTACACATTTTGTGTATTCAGAATAGGAGACGTGTAAACTTCAAGTACCACAGGAACAGTATCATGGGGGAAAATGTACTCACGGTGCGTGCCAGGATGTGAAATCTTTCTTGCTCTGGAGTGTGTACAGTGTGAGACCAACAAACAAACCAACGGTGAGCATGAAAGCTTCAATGACAGAAGGCACTTTGTAGAAAGTCACTGAAATAGAGGGGGAAATGCAGAACATATTAGCATCATGTTGTAATATTAAAATCAATTCAATGGGAAAAAAAAAGAACCCCACAGTTTGCATATATTCAGAAAATTCCTCCCTCCTGCCACCCGCACCTTTTTTTTTTTTTCTTCTTAACAATCTCTTTCTCTAAGACCCCAACTCAAGAACTCGGGAAATTAAATATAAATGATTATCAAACACAAACATGGAACAATATGATTTGGGGTTTTTCAAACTTAAAAACTTCAAAAAGTAATTTAGCTACATCAGTAAGTGATTATCGAGACAAAACAGAACTTTCAAAACTTACCTACGACTCCAATAGCATATGCTTCCATCAAAGTCTGGGAGAGAAAAAAAAACAATACTGTTAATGGTATGACTTTATTTTTAAAATTTTTACCAGTTACGCTTATATTCAGCCTTTCAAAAACATTGCTAGGTTTGAAAACGAAAATGCAAAACAAAAAGGCAAACTTTACTAATTATTAATCACTCTCATGAGAGTTAAGTTGCTGAAACTAATCAAAACATGAACCCCGGAAAGTCATGTAGAAATATACAGCTGCTTTGGAAAATTATCTGTAAGCAAAAAATAAATTTATAACAATTACCCTTTAAAACAAAATAAAATAATAGACCAAATTTTTTTTCTCCAAAATTATTACTTTCACGAATGTTAGGCCTCACCAGGCATACAGTTAGGTCTACATACCTTATAACTGAGATGCAAATAAAGCAAAATAAAAGTTTTATCTTTATGTCAACACCGAAAAAAACAAAAAAACATTCTTACGAAAACTCCGAGCAGGATATAGTTTGTTGGAGTCTCCTGACGTTTCCACATGAGGGCAAACAAGGAGCCAAACGTTCCAACGAAGCTGAGAGTCATCATCCAGTGACTACAAGAAACAAGAGAAAGAATTCATTATGATGAAACTTTGAAGCGTACTCAAAAAAATGAAATGGTATACTCTCACAATACTTGAGTCAAAATCCATTGACAGGACAAACCAGGACTTTGTTCCAAAATAAAATAGAATGTTTATATTTATGCTCATAAACAATACGAGGCAGACTAAGACCATTATTCCACGAAATTGATTTCAGTATCACGCAAAAAAGCATAGTGGGACTTTGTCCGATAAGACAATTAAAAAATTTACCAGTATACCGAGCTCAGGCAAGGTTTTAGATATTTGTGGTATGAATGCTGTATTCAGGTGCCCGCATTTTGAGCTCAAATTGAGATATTTATAACTATAGTGTATATGACAATAAAGACAACTCACCACAGAGCATCAACTGACCATCATACAAAATTTTAACCTATAGATAAAAGAACAACAACAAACCAATAACAAAATTCAACACTAACCTAAAATAAGCTATTAGTCTATAACAGTAAACTTTGAAAATTTACATTATTGCTGACTTTGCAACCACTTACTTTTCCTGGACAAACTGTTGCACTGATTCGCTGGCCATGAACAGGGCAGCCACCATGGTGGTGACTATGAGTTGAGTTACAAGGATGCCATAAACTTTACGCATGAAGCCTGAAGATAGGAATAAATGTAAAAATTCAGCACTTTAATAATGTAAAAAAATATATAATATATCTACTGATCATTTCAATAAAAGGTTTAAGAACATTGTCATAATAGAGGCATGGGATTCAAATTTACTTTAAAATCATCTTTTGAAACAAATTTTCCAAATTTATCAAGAAAGTCAAAAAGAAAAAGGGACAATTTCCAAAAGTGCTGTTACACCTCTAAGCTCTCACACCTGAGGCTTCTAAACACTGTTGTTCAAGATTCAATTAAAATCATAAAAACAAGGCTATTTTCCAGATGACGTTTTATTCAGACGTTGTGGATTTGCTTTCTCTAATCCTATACTATAATAACCAGACTGCCATTTATTTACCAGAGACATCCTTTAAAAGATGCTTTAATTATTACAAAGTTACTACCCTATGTCACTACAGTCAATCACATAGTGGCAAACCATGTTTGTTTTGTTTGATAGCGCCTCTTCATCAAGGGGTGCCACTGTCTCACTAAACAATCAAAATATATTACTTTATGAATGTCTAAATACAAAGCACCTGAGGAGATACTTATAATTGTAGATTTTTTCAAGTAAAGACAAAATGATAGTATAGTACCTCTGTCAATGTCAGGCGATGAACAATGCATCAGCAGAGAAAAATGTTTCTTTTTAAACGAGCAAAGAAGATAAGACGAGTTGCAGCTTCTGCTAAGGTCAGTGACACCAATTCTGGTTCTGGCAGAAAAGAGTTTGCCAAACTTCCACCACCTAAAATCTTCCATTCATTTCCACTTGCAGGTTGTGCAGCTTGATGGCTTCTCTCATGGCTTTTGCAAAATCACAGTAAAATTTTTTAGGAGTTACAGAAAAAAATAATATTCTAAAATCATCAGGTTGAGGGTCAAATTTTACCTCTAACCATGTATGTCTCTGAATAAACTGTCCACCTGGAAAATTACCTCCTCAAAATAGGACTCTTTAGTACAGTGCTCACGTTGTATTGGAATTAATAAATATTAATCCTTGTTAAGGACTCTGGTCATGCGACAACATACATCAAACACCTTCAATTTCAAAAGTAGAGAGAGATGGCAGTTGGAGTTAGTAGCTAGCCAGAGGCCTAAGTAGGCCTACTGTAACTATATGTGACGGCACGCCAGTTTAGCATGGCCCACAGCATCACTCAATTGTTTACAGTCATATAAAATCTAGCAAACCTCAGCAAATTCGTCTGTTTTTCTCATCTAAACAAACTGTAGGTTTACTGGAGTTTGAATCATTCATTTAATTTGCAGTCAGTTTGATGTTAATTTGACAAAAATCAGGTCATCATATTATAGGCCTATTACAAAACTGGAGCAGAGTTAGAGGGAAGTTTGTAGAAAGGAGTAAAAGGCCTCCGAATACTTCCGTACTATGAGTAGCCTATAAATAAAGTAATTTAGCAGCACAAAGCTGAATCCTGTTGAGTTATAATAGCCTTACCCTACATTATATTCAATTTAATGGGGGGGTAAACTTGTATACTTTAAGTTATCTAACTCTAAAAGTAAAAGCCCCCTTGCAATGTTCTACCCAAACGGGAGAGGGTGTGTATAATGAATGAAACAATACGCAGTGACTACGTTCACGGCGCCATGAACATAGTTTGCAGGCTATGTTTACAGTGCCCTGAATCATCCACCATTAGCACAGAGGCGCGACTGAAACGCTACGGTCGCTCAAACTGAACGACGAAACAGCACAGGAATACTCGTACGAAAAATAATGCAGCGGTGGTCCGAATGCAACAGAGTTTACGGAGGGCGAAGGTGAGCACAGCAAAGCAGCCTCGGTCGACAAATCCTCGCTCGCTCAGCGCACAGAACGAGACTGCAATCCTCTTCCTGTGTGCGGACCAGCTGCACAGAAATTCAAATTACGAGCAAGGTATCTTAGTTTGCTATACGCATGCAATTGTGTGTACAGTCACACCTGTATAAAACGGCCACCAATTGTCAAGGAGAAAAGTGGCCGTCGGCCACCCATTGTCACGGAGAAAAGTGGCAGTATAACACAGATGGTCATCTTAGGCAGGACTGGTCAAATTGAAGAAAGCAAATCATTCTCTTCTGAGGCCCAAACTGGGGCTGATCTCAGACTTTAAGACTGCCATAGGGCTAATTCAAAAGGGTTTTTGTTTTCTTTAGTTGTGTGAGTTTACCAAAATGCCTTGTTGTAGTCTATAAAACATAAATGAAGATCTTTCTGAACTTCTAGGGCACGTTCTATTGTTGTTCTGAAGACATATATATATATATATATATTGGTTGCATATAGCAAAAAAAGATGTGGTGCAAGCATCATGCGTAGAGTGTAGAGTATACTCCCGTGCGGACCTGACTACGCTAGACAATTTGAAAATAAAAGTTGTTTGAAGAAACAAGAGAGAATGGAAGAAGGCCAAGGCCAAGGCGGGAAGAGGGGTGGGAGGGGGTGAAAAAAAGAAGAGGCAAAAGGGTAGGGGGTGAAGTGAGCAAGATCATTCTTAAATTGCAAAGTAGACTACATGATTCAAATTCAGGGCGCCCTGAACGTAGCCAGGGAGAGATAGATATATAGATAGATAGATACAGAGCGAGAGAGAGATAGTGAAAGAGTGAGAGATAAGTGGGGAGTAGAGAGAAGAGGGGGCGAAAAAAGAGAGAGAGAAGGAAGGGGGGTGGGAGAGATGGAGAAAGAGAGAAGGAGAGAGAGAGAGAGAGAGAGAGAGAGAGAGAAGGTTCCTTGTGTTGAACTTGTTGAACGTCATTTTTGAAAATTGTTTTAGCAATTCAAAATATAGTTGATTTTGTTACCTGTTCAACAAGAGATATTCCATAAAGTTCTTTTTATTCATGTTATTACTCATCTTTCGGGGGCTCTCGTGGCCTAGAGGTTAAGGTGTTGGCCTCTCATTCAAAGGTCCTGGGCTCGAATCCGGGTGGCGACCGAACAATTCTCTTCTCTAAAATTTTCTCCTTTCACCTTCTTTCATTATCTCTTGCAATATTCTCTTGTCTTCTTACGTCTCCACTTTCTGCCCCCACCCCCTCACCTCCTTTGCCCCCTCCCCTGGGCGCATGACTCTTACTGCAGTCTTTCTACTGCTACTCCTTGGCTCCTTCTTACTGCTGTCTTTCAGCCACACCCCTGGTCTTCTGGTAGGAAAAATCTACATCTAGCCTTCTCGGATGAGGGCGAAAACTCTTGGAAGTCCCGAGTTCAAGTTGCGCGTTAAAATCCCTTGGTAGTCCAAAATCGATAAGAGTAGGCTTCGGCCATCACCAGTGCAAAATTCAAAATTTCCTACAAATTGAAAATATTTAATGTGTCCCGCGAGCTCAAATGACCTAATGCAGTTGCGAGCGCCGTAAAACACTTACCAAAAAAAAAACCAACCTCATCGTTCGTAAACATTAACCACCATTCCCTTCTTCTATGCCTTTATTCAATACCTGGCTGCCTTTTGATCTCATCTGTGTCCTCAAATCTCCGACCACGACACTGCTTTTTTTTAAATTTTGTTTTGT